ACAGAATTAGATAGAAAGATAGATAATGAACAGAATTATATATATATATACATAATTCTCTTAATAATCTATCTAATTCTGTTCATTATCTATCTATCCAATTCTGTTATTAATCTATCTATCTATCTATTTTCAAGCAAAATTAAAAGGTTTCAATGAATTCTTACTGTTTAAATACAAGTTAGTCAGTTTTTCGCATCATACCGCACATTTCCCAGATCTCTTTAACAATTTCGAGGAATATTAACAATAGATATCCTTATGAAAAAAAAGTTTTATTATCTTTATCGTTAAAACTCATACGATGAGGTGTTTTAAAATCGTCGATATATCACACTTATACAAATTTTCCTAACTGACTCAACATCAGATTTTTATTTACTTTTTAAAAATCATTTTGGTTGGGCCTAGAACTTTTCAGCACCCCCTCGTCGGTGTGCAGGTCTGGGTGCTTGGTTAGTGCTGTCAAGTAAATTTCGTGTTTTCATTTATTCTCCCTCCTAACAGTGAGATGTTAATTCTACATCAACTCGGTAAAAATTCATGGATGCAAGTTGAAAGGAAAACGTAAATAACTAAATATTCTTATTGTCCGTTAGATTTTTTTTTTTTGTTTTTTTTTAAAAAAAAAAAAAAAACTCTCTTTTTTTCCAATTCTCTCCCCGCCCTCTCTTTCCCTCTATCACCCTCTCTCTCTCTCTGCGCTTGTGTGTGTGTATGTATGTGTGTGTGTGTGTGTGTGTGTGTGTGTGTGTGTGTGTGTGTGTGTGATTGATTGAAATATATTGTCTGTTCGTTTTGAATGGTTGCAAAGAACGAAGGATTTGGTCGTAAAATCTTCATTAGTGATGGTACCCGTTTCATTCCAACTTGTTTTCGAAATCATAATGACTTTCAAATGTGGAAATAAAATGGGAGAAATAAATTTTTTTTTTTTTTTTTAAACTGTGTGGCGGGGAGAGAGATAGAGAAAGAGTGAAAGAGAGAAAAAGAAAGTAAAATAATGATTAAGAAAGAAGTATTTTAAAATGTCGGAAACTCTTATATTTTTATAAATTAACAAAATAAAAAAAAAAAAAAATAAAAATTATTTCGGAGATAACTTAAAACAAGTCAATCAATGATAGCACTCCCAACCTCGGCCTTTGCAACAAGCTGCTGAAAAGTTCTCGAACCAACCAAGACGCTTACCTAAATAATAAAAATTTTGGTCAAACTTTGGGAAGTAAGATGGCCATTAGAATTTTTCAGTACCCTACTCCGTACATTAGTACTACCCGAAACTTGTTAAATTTGAATCACATGCGACCGAATGTAGTACTAACTTTTTGTGAGCAGTTCCCTAACATCGAGTGGTATTTCTATTCTAAAGAGAAGGTGAAATTCTTCTTTTTTTTTTTCAGGGTCATTTACTACAAATGTTGGGTGAATTGAAAAAATCCTAAGAGTAAAAACTGTAGCAACCATAGTGACTAAAAATATTTAGAATTTTTTTCGTAGATAAACTTCAGACAGACCACGAAGGAGTCGGTAACCAGAAATTAATGAACGCTTACCACAATTCGGTTAAATAAATGACACACGTCTTTACGAATCGATGTGTTCGTTATTCGTTTCTTGATCATAGCCGAAATCAAAATGCATCGGTAATTTACGAAAAAAGAAAAAAATAAGTTAGTTTTGGATCAAAGTTTTTTAAGTGTGTACCACACTAAGGTTAGGCTTAGTGTGTTTGTGTACTAATAAAATAACTCTTCAGTTGGAAATTATGTTTCTTACAAAAAGCTTAGCGGTTCCGTGAAAGTGCCTACACGTAAAGATTTTATTGCCATTCGTTAACAAAAATTCCTTCGCGTATATAAATAATGTCCACCTACACCTAAAAAATAAAAAAAATAAATACATAATGAAATAAAGATATAAATAAATAAAAGAGAGAAGCAAAGGGGTCCTTCAGATCTATCGTAAATGGGTTTGTCTGAAATTCATAGATGAGTCATTATCTTAATTCTACGAGCTGTCCTAACTAATCTTATCATTTGTTTTTGTTTTATTACGAAGTTTATATATATATATATATATATATATATGTGTGTGTGTGTGTGTGTGTGTGTGTGTGTGTGTGTGTGTGTGTGTGTGTGTGTGTGAATGTATAAATCTGCTGTAGTGATTAAAGCTAAAGAATATACCATATTAAAAATTGTGATAAAAAAAAAAAAACCCAAAAAAAAACAATATATTAGTCTGGGCAGTCCGTTGTTAATTATTTAGAAGTTATTGAAATTACTGTCCGACAACTGGCAACAAACGTTTTCGTGACAGACATTTGCATTTATACGGCTTCCGAATATGTAACAAATACTGTAAATTTTACAGACACATAAGTGCGTCATTTTTTATATAGACGAGAGCAGATCAATAAGGCTATAGAGTGGACATGATTATCAAATTAATTCCGAAGTGAAATGTTCTAATGTGATTAATAAATAACTGTTGGATT